GATGTGTATAAGATACAGCCATCAGAGAGGGACGGATTTCACCAGTAGGTGCCAGTGCAATTACTGGAAACATGTCTTCTGGGGGTGTCTGAGAGGGAAGTGTTCATAAAGCTTGAGAGGAGTGACTCAGAACTATATAAATCCAGGGGCAGTTTCTTCAGCAAAAATGCAGTTCTACAAATGCTTGAAGTAGTGATACAGAGCTTTTCTGATTAACCCCTGGCTGCTGGAAGCTTTTCAGACTGGTATACCTGGTACCTTTATTGTTTTTTTCCCCTGCAAATTGCAGACATATATTTGAGTAGAGCTGCATACATCAAAGCTGCTTAATAGCAAAGGAAATCCAGTTGAAAACAGGCTTTTCGCAGTCCTGTTACAAATAGTCCACAGATCCTAGGAACTCAGCGACCATGGGCTGAAAACTGGTGACTCAGGAGCAGTGTATTGCACTAAACCCCCTTGAAAATTCTGTTCATGATCACAGGAAATTAAGTTAAAACTAAAACCAACGGAAAACGCAAAGCACAGCATTACTCAGGGAGTGTTACATCTTCATCGTCGTTGTTCTTGGCCCATGGATGATGTGTGAGTACGTGATCGCTGCTCTGTAAACTTTCAGATTGAGAAACTCATTAACAATGTAAATGTAGCTTTGCCTTGCAGTGTATCTTGATCCAAGTTTCAAGTAGGGCTGTAGCCCTGCGCTTCAGTGTGGTCGGGGTTTAATTCATTAAAAGTGTGGTCCTTGCAACATAAAATGGGGAAGCTGTATCAGCTGGAGCTGGCTCAAGGCATCTCAGCAATGAAAACAAGGCAGATGACAAGTCAAGCCGGGCTTCTCCTGTAATGGTAAGGTGAGAAACAGAAGAGCAGAGGCAGTAGCCTAAAGGAGTCAAGTGCCACTAGCAGGAATGGGTGGAGCAGAGCCTTCAGATGCCATGGGAACCACATGTGGATGCTACTCCAGCATCCCAGTCTCTTCCCCAGCAACAGGTACCAGTGACAGCCAGCAGCTGGCCTTTCCAGCAGTCTGCTGTAGGCAGCAGGGCTTGCAGGCTTTCTGCTTCCCCTAGCAGCATGTCGGTTTTTTGTCCCAGCCAGGAGCTCTTTTTGCTGGCCAGGGGCTCTTCTGGTAGCTGCAAGTTACTCAAGTGCAGGCAGGGTCAACTCTGTAGCAGAAGAGAAGCAGAGTTACGCCATCTACTGTCTGTGATCCCAAAGGTGCTAAACTAGCCCTTTGGTCAAACTGTATAATAGTGACAGAAGAAAAGAGGTGCAAATTGAGGCTAATACAAAGAAAGCAAGCTGTGACATTTTCACTGTCAGAGTGGCTGGATGTCTAAGTCTGCAGCATCCAGTATTTTCTCAGCTGTTTTCTCAGAGAATATATTTATAAAACCTGGTTGATTTGATTCGAATTCGATTATTGTGTTTTGTAAGCTTTCAGGTCTTGTAGTGGTATAAAAATGTGAGAGGGGACACATTATACTGAAGAGAAAAAGAAACAAAACCCACAACAAACACTTGGTATCCTGCATTTTGCACAGATTTTTTTTTTCCCTTGAGATGGTTTTAAATAGAAGAAAACATCTTTCAAACCAGGTTGGTTTTTTTTTTAATATTAAACTAAAGTTTTTGTCAACTGTGAGAAAGAGGTACTTCCAGAAGGAATTCACCTCACTCTAGAGTAAGGGTCTGGGATAGGTGAAATTAATTTTCATCTGAAACTGGCTGCTTTGTACCATCAGTTACAAAAAGACGCAAGGGTGAACAGATCTTAGGTGTGCAAAATTAAGTAAGATTAATGGCATCTTTTGTCCATTCCAAAATACAGTCAGATTAATAAAACTGTCAAATGCTAATCTACAACCAATAGACGTCAAACACACACCACCACCACCACCCCACCTTTAACTGAAGAGATTAATAGTTAAGAGGAATAGTCAAGTATAACCAGTGAGTTTTGGTGCCTTGATTTGGTATGCCAATTTGTGTTGACTTAAAGGAACCTCCTTTTCAGAGTGTTCTTCCTTCTGAAAAATGAGTGGTATCACGATATCCTAGATTTGGCTCCCAAAAATTGTGGGCCATCGGTAGTACAAGTTGATTTGGAAAGTCTGGTCCTGCATTGTGCAGTGTACAGGAGTCTTCACAGCTGCATTGCCCAAAGCAAACAGATGGCTTCACCTGAAAGGTTTTGTCTCATGTAAAATTCATGTTGTGAATTGAGAAAGAGTGTGTTGAGGGTTTATTGTTCTGAGTGCTGCTTATCGTGGTTAGAGCAGTAACAACCTCAAGCAAACACACCGGAAATGTCATCCAAGTGGTTTGAGGAATGCTTCTTGTCTTGAAGTGCAGAAGGAGTTAACTGAAAGATCAAAGCTACAAAGTCTGCTGGAAACATGAAAACCCAATGGTGTGAGACACCATAAAAGGGTTAAATACGATGATGTAAATCATGTGTGTTGGGTAAAATGCTGTGAAAGCTCAGACAGAACCTGGAGGTATAATAAATAATCTTTGAATACCTGAGAGCCTTGTGGCCTCTCTGTCATTAATCAGAAACCACAGACTGAGGGATTGGCTGGCAAAACATTAATCATTAAGCAATTAATTCCAGCCGTGAAAACAAAACTTTGTGATTTCCTGAGTAGGTGGGATTGAAAGAGGCATGGCATGTTTTTTCTTTTTCACCATAAAGGAAATAAAGAAGAACTGAGGAGGTCATACATTCATCATTCAGATGGGATAGAAAATCTCCATTATTATTCAGTTCTTCCTTTTTGTTTATATGAAACAGGAAGAGGGAATATCACCACGGGTTTTCCTTGGAAGCAGTAATGAGACTCTTGAGTTTAAAACCTTTCTAGATGTGTGACAGTAACAAAAAAGGGCTTTATTTCTTGTGCCTTACATGTTCCTCCAGTTCTCCATAAAAGCATGTTAGAAATAACTTTTAATTCATCTCAGCAGCATCATCAGCTGTAACAGTTGTCTCATGAGACTCAGGACGTCTGTCTTTTTCCTATCTTTCTTGAATCCCAGTTTCTAATAATTGACTGATCACTGTAAGATCTTAGCTTTCCTTGTTTTTAGTATTTATAGCTATGGAGAAACCTAAAAATGCAGATACTAAAAGCTGAATAATCTGAACACAAGGTGGAGTCCAAAATGTGTACATACATTTTTATTTTCTGCATGTCATTTAATCTTGCAGAAACTTTAATTAGTTCAAGGGACCAAGACTGAATTTTTCCATTTTGGGGTTGAAAATGCTGGTAGAACTGCCACTTGTATTTTTAAATCTGTAAAGTACACATAAAGAGGAATCTTAGCCATGTTTTTCTCATCATTACTGAGTGGAAACCTGGCCTCTCAAGGGCTGTGAGCTCAACTTTACAACCAACTTCAAGAGACCACCTTTCTGTAAAGTGCTGTTGGATGGATGGTGAGGTGGGATATAATTAGAAGCTGCCTAAATAGCAACTGGGCCTAGATAATTTGCCAAGTGCCATGTGAGAAGTTTGTGACAGAAACAAACTGTGATTTTTTGGCTGGTACCTAATGCCTGGCCATCTGCCTCGCCAAGCTGACGGCATAAATACTGGGAGAGCAACTGTGAGAGCTGTTACCTCAGATCAGCCTGGTCAGTGATTGCAGCAGGCAAACGACCTTGTTGCTGGCTTCTGAAGGATTATTATTCACAAGCTTGAGACACCATTTATTTTAAATACAGTCATTTTCGCAGCAGTATTCAAATGCCGCCTTCTCCTTGCACAAAATGTGTGGAAATATCTTGCCACAAGACATTCAAGCAAAACTTTAAACAAAACAGATGTCACAATTTGTGCAGTGTACCCTTTCAACTATAAAGACATGTCATCAAAGCCAAAAGTTTTACAGAAAGGAGTGTGCTGCCTTTACTTTATGTGGCAACAAGATACCTTTACATACAGCAGTTTCCTTTCATCAGGCAGCTTCTTAGAGTTCGTGTAGGCAAATTGTAACGTTTATCTCATCTTCTGCTCAGAGGCAATGTATGGCAAAACACAGTGCATATATTAATATGTTAATTAGTTAAAAGATTGCAATCCTCTTTAGTGATATAGTTCCTGCCATAGGTATAACAAAAAACCCAAAGGTTAAAATAAGTATATTCAGTATGAAAGTTTTGAGAACATGTCCAGCTGGGCAGAAGACAATATATACTGAGAAACAGAATGTTTTGTACTTGTCCATTATGTCAGTCTCATTACAGAGAGCCAGTTGCAACAGTCCCTAGCTAAGCAAAACACTTCATGAGAGCAGAATCTGTCCGGCACCGATGGCCTGAATTCATGTGTTGCCGCTGAGATGCTAACTGTGATTATTCTCCATTTCCTCCTTCTTCCCTCCACTTGTGAATTAGTGTCGTTTGAGGAGACAGGATGTCGGCTTGAAAAGCCACCTGGATCAGCTAGACCAGCGAATAAGTGAGCTGAAATTGGACGTCAGTAAGACCTCCAGTGAATACTTGGATAGCGACAGCCGGCCCAGCTCAGGTAATGTGCACTTGGTCCTTTATTCGCAGGGGTGTTGTGCTAGGAGAACTGAAGGATGTCAACTGCTAAGCAAAACTCTCTGTATTGTTTGGTCAGAAACGGTGCCCTATGACTGAGGCAGAGAGTAGTCATCTGGCACAGAGCACACTCACAGAGCTGGTGGGAATTTTCTTGCAAAAATGATTTAGTTGGAAAATGTTTATTCACACAAACAGTATCTTTTCTGGATTTTTTTTTTTTACTTTTAAATTAATTGACATTTCAGCCACAACTGGAAGGAGGAGGAGGCAGGTTTATTAGTTAATTACCTTGTCCAGTGCAGAATGACCACTGGCAAAGTGGCTGAAGTCCTTACTAGAAGTGAAGGAGACCAACACCCACGTCGGTGTTCTGCTTCAGT